TCTCCTCCCTCCCTCTCTCCCTCCCTCACCTCCCCCCTCCCTCCCTCCTTTCCCCTCTCCCCTGCCCTCTCTCCCTCCTCGCCATCCCTCTGCCCCTCCCCCCTCCCTCCCCTGCCTCTCTTCCTTCCATCTTCTACCTACTCTCTCAGATCCTTCCGAGGGAAATAATTTTCACAGATTGTATTCTTTCCCAGGAAACTTCTCCTCGTCTTGCCTCTCTGTAACATGGACTGGATCGCATCAGGCAGCAGATATCAATGAACTTTTTACTTCCTTCTGCCCAAGAGGTGGATCCATAAGAAGAGTGACAATATATCCGTCTGAATTTGGAAAGGAGCGCATGGCAGAAGAAGTCTTAAAAGGACCTCGAGAGTTGGTTTCAGGCCCGGCAGATGAAGATGATGACATAAATCTCGTTGATCTTGAGACAACTAGAAAGCAGGTAAATTGATTTGGTTTTCCAGTTTGAGTTTAATTTAAGTATAGGTTTGTTTGTGCTATTCATCTGCAGTGAAATTGCCTTTATCTTTTTTTTTTTTTTTTTCAGGTTTTGTAGATTGTAAGCCGGGTGTATATAATTTTGTTTTTCTTTCAATTTACTGATTTGGTGAGATTTTGTACCGGAGTTTAAATTTTGTGTACAGTAGTTATTATTAATAATGATAATAATAGCATTGATATTGATAACAGTTAAAAAAAGTTAAAAAACTCAAGGAAAAGGGAAATCAGTTAAGCTTATGTAGTTTTACTAATAGACTCCTTGGTGGCTTTGAACTTCTGGAGTGATCTATGTGAAAATACATTTCACAAAATGCTACAGTGAAAATTACATGATCCTGACAGCATTGAGTTCAAGATTGTAATTTTTATTTGTTTATTTATTTTTTCCCAGTTTAGAATTTGCTGAAGGGTGATATGAAATGTGAATATTTTGCAATGTCTTCAAATTATATTTGAACTGGTAGTTTCTGTGTGTCTGTACATAGTACATATGTAAAGGCATTTTTATTCATGAAGTCACTATTTTTATACCTTTTATGTCTTTGTTTAATGTTACCATTGTGTTACAGGTATTTTGGATTCCAGTACTGGAGCAACTGCAAAACATTATGAGACACTGAGGAGATATCAGCGCAATCGTCTTCTCTATTACTATGCTGTTATAGAGTGTGATGCTGTTGACACCGCTAAAATTATCTACAAAGAGTGCGATCGGCAGCCTTTTGAAGAGACAGGAATTCTCATTGACTTGAGATACATTCCTGCTGACATGACTTTTGATGATGAGGTATTACAGTGAAACGAATGTTGTTATTTTTACACTTGAAAACTGGAGTTAGCGAAAATTATAAAGGAGTAATATGACTGGGTTAGTGTAATTTTGAGGAAAGATAGTGTTGCTGGAACCACACCATACCATATACCTACTATCTTTTATTTTACTATACAGCATTAAGGGTAGTACTTGAAAGGATCAACTGTGCTTTACTCCACAGACTGTTGATAAAATATTTTCAGGAGCAGTGAGAAAAATAGACTTAATTAGACTAAATTTTGGGGTATATGGCATTACAAGAAAACTAAGAAAAGAAAGAAAAGATGCCTTATGTAAGAGGAAGTTGAATTAATATTTTAAGGATAATTATTTAATAATTCATTATTTCTTAGCAGTCACCCCAATAAAATGAGTCCATTGGTATTACCTATGAGAAATTATACTTTTAGATGAGATTATTTTTTATTAGTATGTAAGTTTTCTGTTACATATATATTGATGTATATATATGTATATATGTATATGTATATATATATATATATATATATATATATATATATATATATATATATATATATATATATATATATATATATATTGATGGTGTTGATGGCATATTTTGCTTTTTTATAAATAAATCTTATATATGTATGCTGAAAAGCAATAAGAGTAATTGAAGCAGGTTGTACTCATACAAGATTTTCTTCTTATCATGTGCAGGTTTTTGATAGGTGTGAAGCCGTACCAGACACATACGAGCCCAAGCATTTCATCACAACTGCTCTCCAGTTATCGCAGCCATCATTGACCTGGGATGAAACAGACCCAGACAGAGAGAGGATCCTATCAACAGCAATGACAAAAGCTCTGAAGGGTGAAGAAGTTGATGAGGAATATTTGAAGGTATTGTGAGAGTGAGAGTGCGAAACTGAGGGAGAATGTCTGGATGTGTAACTGCATGTGCATATGTGTGTGTTAGTCTATTTGTGGATTCATGCTGCTTGTCTGTTAAAAAAAATTGTGTGTATGTTAGGTATATTTTAAGTAAAGTTTTGATGTAGAGGTCCTGAAATAATAATAATAATAATAATGATTATTATTATTATTCCCTCAAACTCATGTTCTTGGGTCAGTATTAATTTGCTTCCATAAAGACCAGAATTTTGTTACAACTAAAACGTTTTCTTTTAGGGGTTTGTTGCTTCAGGCAGTGAATGTGAAGATGAAGAATCTTTACAAAGTGATGAAGATAGCGAAAGTGAGGATGAAGATGCCAAAGCTGCTCGCATTGCAAAATTTAGAGCTCTCATTAAAGAAATAGATGAAAAAGAGAATAAGAAAAAACAGGAGCATATACATATGGAAGAAATGTTTGCTGTGGATGAGGATTCAGAGGAAGAAGAAGAGGACACATCAGATGTCGAAACAGCAAAGGAAGATGTAAAGGAAAAGTCAGACCTTAATCCCTTCGAAAAGTATTTAGAAAAACGTAAAGCCAAGAAGAAACAAAAAGAACAGAAGAAGAAGCATATAAAGAATACTGAAAATGAGGACACGGATGAAAGTGATTATGACGATGTTCCGGAAGGTATTGACTTACACAATGATCCATACTTTGCCGAGGAGATTAACAAAATGAAAGGGGAGAAGAAACAGAAGAACTTAAGTAAGAGTAAAAAGAGTAGCACAGAGGAAACTGAAGGGGAAAGTAAGGTAAGCAATTTGACTTGTATTTTCTGGGAATAGGAATTCATTGAGATCCCTTTTTTTCCACATAATTCATGTACTATGATGGTCAAAAGAGAAGCCCCTACACTGATGCTGCTAAATGTCATAATCTCTCCTCTCTCTCTCTCTCTCTCTCTCTCTCCTCTCTCTCTCTCTCCTATCCATCTCCCTCTCTCTCTCTCTCTCTCTCTCTCTCTCTCTCTCTCTCTTCTCTCTCTCTCGTTCTCTCTCTCTCTCTCTCTCTCTCTCTCTCTCTCTCTCTCTCTCTCTCTCTCTCTCTCTTCTCTCTCTCTCCTCTCTCTCTCTCTCTCTCTCTCTCCTCTCTCTCTCTCTCTCTCTTCTCTCTCTCTCTCTCTCTCTCTTCTCTCTCTTCTCTCTCTTCTCTCTCTTCTCTCTCTTCTCTCTCTTCTCTCTCTTCTCTCTCTCTCTCCTCTCTCTCGTTCTCTCTCTCTCTCTCTCTCTCTCTCTCTCTCTCTCTTCTCTCTCTCTCTCTCTCTCGTCTCTCTCTCTCTCTCTCTCTCTCTCTCTCTCTCTTCTCTCTCTCTCTCTCTCTCTCTCTCTCTCTCTTCTCTCTCTCTCGCTCCTCTCTTCTCTCTCTCTCTCTCTCTCTTCTCTCGGCTCTCTTCTCTCTCTCTCTCTCGTTCTCCCCCTCCCTCTCTCTGTCTCTCTCCCGCCTCTCTCCCTCTTACTCTTCGCCTCCCTCTACCTTCTCCTCTCTCCCCTCCTCTCCTTCTCCCCCTCTACCGTCTCCTTCTCTCCCCTCTCCCCTCTTCTTCTCTCCCCTCTCCCTCTCCCTCTCCTCTCCCTCTCCCTTCTCCCTTCTCTCTTCTCCCCCCTCCCCTCTCCCTCTCCCTCCCTCTCCCTCTCCTTCTCCCCCCCCCCCTCTCCTCTCCTCCTCTCCCTCCCTCCCTCTCCCTCTCCTTCTCTCACTCTCCCTCTCCCTCTCCCTCTCTCTCCTCTCCTCTCCTCTCCCTCCTCCTCCTCTCCTCTCTCTCTCCCTCTCCCCCTCTCCCTTCCCTCTCCCCTCTCTTCTCCCCTGCCTCTCCCCTCTCCCTTCTCCTCTCTCTCCCTCTCCCCTCTCCCCCTTCCCCTCTCCTTCTCCCCCCTCTCCCTCTCCTTCTCCCCCCTCTCCCTCTCCTTCTCCCCCTCTCCCCTCTTCCCTCTCCTTCTCCCCCCTCTCCCCCCCTCTCCCTCTCCCTCATCTTTGTCTTCTTTCTTTTCTTTTTCCTGGCAGATAGAAACCATACCCCAATACCCCTAGTACTTAAATCCACATACTTAAAGAACCTCCAAGTCTCCAGCCACACATGCTTCACCACTGCTTCATGATGGCCCCTTTTTTATTTGTTATCATCAAGGAAGGAAATTTCAAGTTCGACCTTTCTTCTTAGCAGGGTGATCTGGAGTTGTTACTTATGGACGAAGATGATGCAGAGAAGAAGCACTTTAACATGAGAGATATTATTGAAGATAACAAAGTGAAGAAGAAGAGGAGGATGAGCAAGAATAAGAAGAAGATTGAAAAAATGAAAGAGAAGGAGATAGAGAAACAAAATGCTGTGGATGATTTTGAGGTAAGTTGGTATTATTACAATTGTAGGCATGTTTAAGATAAAAGTGCCTTTTGGTCCTTTCTGTGTAATAATCAATGTATGTAAGAATTAAATAGCTTTTTATGCTGGTAAGCTTTTTCATTATTATTGTTACAGCAGCATTTTGATATTTTAAAAAATGGCTTTCCAATTAGCATATGCAGGAATGAACTGTAAGATACATACAAACATTATTTTTATGTATCTATTAATAGTTGCTGAAAAATTAATGTTTTTTGTTGATTGTAATGCCTTACAATATTATTGTCATAACCATTGGTTTTTCATGGGTCTATGATATATTCTAATACCAATTATTATTTTATAATCTTTTTATCAGTATCAACAAAAAGTTCACTTTTATTTTTATTGTATTTTTTTCCATTTGTCATTACACATAAGAGCAAATTTGCAATTACAAAGTTCTAGTATTTGTTTGCTCAGAACAGGTCTTTTCAATTATTGTTTATGTTAAAAACCTTATGAATAATACACAATAGTACATGTTTTTGCTTACTCCTTTCAACAGATAAATACGTCAGATTCAAGGTTTTCGCAGCTCTTCTCATCCGGGGACTATAATATTGACCCGTCACATTCACAATTTAAAAGAACGAAGGCTATGGATACTCTTATTACTAATATCCAGCAGAAAAGAGCTGCTGAAACATATGAGAATGTGGTGAGTATAGATAATATTCATTGGGGTGCTTTATAAAAAAGCCCCTTTTTGTACAAATAATCCCAGAAAAGTATTGTAATGTGCAATGTTTATCTTTGGTGTGTCTACAGTTCAGAGATATTGTCTGGTTTTAGAAAACAAAGGTATTGAGATATTTTCCCAACATTAAGAATTTAAGTAAATTTCTTTTCATTCTTTGGATTCTTATTTAAATTATATGGTACTGTATTATATTCCATTATATTTTTATATTTATTATGAAATAATTTGATATATTATGATACATATATATATATCATGTGTGTCATATGATACGTATGTGATAAATGATGTATATGAGGTATATATATATATATATATATATATATATATATATATATATATATATATATATATATATATATATATATATATATATACACACATATATATATAAACATATATATGTATAGATAAATACTATTGTATTTTAATTATTTTAAATTGTTTCTTTTCAGCCTGACTCCAAAAGAAGCAAAGCCGATTTCAAGAAAAAGAAAGACCATGAACTTTCCTTGTTGGTCAAAAGAGTTAAAGGGAAAACACAGAAAAAATAAATGTTAAATAAGTAATAGATTAAAAATAAAGAAGAAATTTAGTTCTGTATATTTTTGTCCTTGTGATGGTATTTGAGATTTTCTTTTCATTTATGAATTATCGCAGAACTTGGTATACACTTTATATTTTTATGATAAGATGAAACTGATAAATGCTTAATTCCTATACTAAAATTTGATTCAATCGCACTACTCCTTCACAGAGAGGAAACATTTACATTATGAAATATACATTTGTATGGAATAATGCAGTACCATAGACCTACTTCTGCATTAAGTATATGCAAAAAGTGGGTAGATAATATGTATTTTTTTTTCTTGCTTTTCTTACACATTGAATACTTCCTTATAAGTACTTGCACAAGGAACCAATAAGTGAAAACTTATCTTTAACCACATTTTATGGATAGATAGATGGTATATTATGAGCCCTTGTCTACCAAACTAACAGATTTCCTGCCATTTTGTAGTATTAATAGTCCGGGGCTTGAGTACTTCTAGCAGTCAGTATATGAAAACTAGATGGTGTAGCTGAAATGTTCCCTCTATTATCAATGAATTAATGTAATTATGAAGGAATACTAAAACCAAATGTATATATATCGCTTTTTGATGTTGCATGGTTTTGAATAAGTTGGGAAGTGGTGAATGGTGGATTCACCAGGGGGGGGGAGTTACCTAAAGAATCTAAGGTTTTTAGTTACCACATTCCATTAAGTCTTCGGGAAATAGTTCCGAGATTTTTGCCCATTCACTTTGGCTAGTGTGACCAAGATCAATAGAGTTGACAAATTTAACATTCTCGTTTGTATATAGCCCAGCTGACTACTCTTATAAATAGTGCAAGTCATTCACCAAGATTTTATTATCTATGAGTATTTCTCTGTTCCTTATTATTTTCTTATAAAAACATAATTTTTCTCATAGTTTTACATCCAGTTTTAAATCATGGAGGGAATCTTCATTGAAAGCATAGTTTCATTAATGGCTTGATATTAAAGGAAAGAAACTCTAGCCATCTTCCAAAATGCCAACAACTATGCTGAAGACTGGAGGATGCTCAGCATTTGTAAGTTTGACCTAGGTGAGGTCATTGTTCAAATCTGATAGGTTGAACTTTAACCTTTGCATTGACATTAGCACGAACTCTACTTATGTCTTAATCTCAAAACACTGAAATATTAGAAAAAAGCTTGATGCCTCAACAAGAATAAAAAAAATGTCAATGATCCAAGGGAGAATGTTTAGGGAGTCTTGCAAACTGTATGGTTCACCCAAGATGACCCACCAGCAGGATTTTAATAATAATAATTATGGTATTATTATTATTAGTAGTAGTAGTAGTAACATAGCTATCATTTTCATTAATCATCATCGTCGTCATGATGACGACGATGACGATAACGATAATGTCAACAGCGGCGGTGATGAGATAATGAGAAATGATGATAATAAATATTACAATGATAATGGTCATGATGATATTAATGATGATCATTATTATGATGATAATAAAATTACAATGATAATGGTCATGGTGATAATAATGATGATCATTATTATGATGATAATAATGAGAAAAATAAGGAACATGATCTAAAATATTCATGGTTTGGTAACAGGCTTTTGAGACTACAGTCAAATTGCAACTGTGGTTATAAATCGCAAACGTAATAAGTGAGCCAGGTTTTGATATGGCACCTTTCTGTGGTGACCACTCGGTATAGGTATCAGGTACCTTTCACCCTGCCACAACCCTTAAAATGCATATGTTCAGCTGTCGACTTATCACCTTTAAACGATAGAGTACAAATAGTTCTCTCATAGAATTAGATCCACTGGTAATGTGCAGTCAAGTGTGGCGATATCGTCTGTGTGGCTGAATGTCCCATATGGTTTCTGTCTTATAGGAACTCGATCTATGCCGACTAATTACATGGGTCGGGAGGGGGATGTACTGCGATTATATTATCACGTATCACTGTAATACTCAGGTCTATCAGTGCTTTTAAACCTTGGTTATACTGCAATGTATCATTAGTGTTATCATTTGTTATGTATATACTATCATCATTATACATATTTTCATACTCGGGAGCCAATGTGTATGTACCCTCCCGCTCTCGAATACATACATACTTGACGAAGTACTGTCAGCTTGAAGGGTTTTTTTTATATACCACTTGTGCCAAAAGTGTAGTCATGGATAAATGAAAGAAAGAATGTGATTTGTACAAATTGGTCGCTTACGATTACAGACGGTAATATCTTTACAAATTGTCAAAGCTGAATTGCAAATTAACCTACAGGATGTCGTGCATGTCAACAGGAAAAGGTTATCTTTCTAAAACTGTGATAACCATGTACCATAAAAGGTTATTGGCATGATAACTTATCCTGCACACCGATGACACCCCGAGAAAGTAAAATCTTTTATACGAATCCTATACATGGAAAGCATGCCAAGGACTGAGGAGCTTCGTACAGAGAGATAAATGAGAAAAAACAAGATTCTAGACAAAAATCAGGGAGCGATAACTAGTCACCGAAGTTATAAATTAATGGAAGATTGGGGGCTTAGATTAATATTGCATCTATTTGGCTCTCATGTTCAAGTACTGTCTGGGTGAAAAAGTAAACGTAATTGACAGTGCAGCTTCTCATGCACATACTCCTTAAATACCATCACCTCTGGTAACCCATTACAATCAGGGGCGTCATTCGCCCCCCTCCCCCGACTCTGAATGCCCCCCTCAAGGTCTGACCCCCTACCCAAGGACCACAGTCCCACGATTTTTTGGCCGGAATTACTTTATTACTTTATAACTATGATCGTAGCTTAAAAAGGCTCCTAAAATACCTAATTAAAAAATCTCTGGGGGCTCGCAGCGCCCGAGACCCTGATTGTGCTCACTTCGCTCCCCAAGAAAAAACCTGAAATGATTACAATACGTGGTAGCTATAAAACTGGTACTACTATACATAATTTATTTAAGTAAAAAAAAAAAGTGTGTCCTTTAATCTGCTTCGGACTTTATTACAAAATTTAACTTTTCATTGATATAACTTAGGTACAAAATCGGTACATGAAATGAAATATTATCGATCTTCGAGGATTATAGCAAGGTTATCGCTGAGATACTGTTGCTCATTAATTTACTGTGGGAATAGGGCTGTTTTCTAAAGGGGTGAAATTTCCTTTCTTATTGAACTCTAAAAGGACCTTGAATAAGGACCATCCCAAAAGGGCCACCAAAAACTGGGCCCATGGATAATCCAGGGATAATAATGATAATGATAGTAACATTAAATATAATAATAATAATAATAACGACAATGATGATAATAATGATGATAGTAATGATAACAATAGCAATGATGATAGTAATGATTATTAATATTATTATAATAACAAATTCTCTCTCTCTCTCTCTCTCTCTCTCTCTCTCTCTCTCTCTCTCTCTCTCTCTCTCTCTCTATATATATATATATATATATATATATATATATATATATATATACATATATGTATATCCCTCTCCCTCTCTTTTTTTTCTCTCTTTCTCTCTCTCTCTCTCTCTCTCTCTCTCTCTCTCTCTCTCTCTCTCTCTCTCTCTCTCTCTCTCTCTCTCTCTCTCTCTCTCTCTCTCTCTCTCTCTCTCTCTCTCTCTCTTCCCTCCCTCCTCCCCTCTCTCTCTGTCCTCCTCGCTCGGCATTTCAAATACCTTAAAACAAACATCAAATTACTAAAAAGGTCTTAAACTCTTGATATGATCTAACCTCGCAGTCTGTTTCATTATAACATCACGTATGACAAATAACAATATAACAAGTGCAGGAAAATCGATGGTAACCAAAGAAAAACGAGTCAACTCAATTTTCACGGGCCCCTTGCAGCTCCCTGGTCACGGGCCTCGCTAACTGCTCCCCCTTTGCTGAATACTTAAAAGTGCAATACATCCAATCTCACTGCTACGTCACCTCCACTGATTGCCGTTATTACAATGTCCATTTTTCGTGATTCCTCTTTTGGTGGTGTGTATTTCAATGGAGGTCTCACATCGCAAAATTGAAATTAAACCATTTCTTAAAAAAAAGTCAATAACACATATTACAATAAAAGCAT